ATATACAATAACTCATTTTGTTTTAACATTCCTTTAACATTAAACCTTTAAAAGTCATGTAGCTAAATCAGTCATTATCTTCTAATAGCTACATGAAGGTCTGGCTGAAATATACATGCAGGAAACTTTTATAATGTACACACAGGCAATCAATGTTTGTTTGAATCTGAATAGGCCCAATATTCCTTGAAAGGTCAGACCTGTAATTTCATAGATGAGTAATCTGAGGCCCGAAAAAGTTAATACTGTTGCTAATACTGAATCAGCAACAAAGATGGGTGGGTCTAGAATTCAGATCACATAATAAGAAACATGAATTACTAATTTAAGTGTTTCACATTGAACACTTTTCTAGAGAATAAGGAAATATTAAAATAAGTATATAAAAAATCAATATAAGGTTTATAGAGAACTAATTTTAGGTATAGTATCAAAATTTAAGGAAGCACCATCAGTAGAAATAAAAAAAGTTTACCAAGATTTTGGTAATAAATAATACTGTAAAATTTACTTAAAGATTTAATCAATTAATACCATTTTGTAATAAATTATACCTCATCAAGCGAATCGCTAACCAGATGTGTCCGCCTTACTTTCATATTTAGAAATAACATATTCATATCAGGTCTCTGTCTTCGAGATACTTTATCCACCAGACTTTGCTAATTAAATAGGAAAGCAAACATTTTCACTTTTACTTAAAACTATAATTTCATTTAAAACATTTAAACACATTAGTCAAAATCACTTAATTCTTATATATTCCACCTCTCAAACAATTCATGAAACCAGTTATACACATTTTGATTTGTGAAAATGCCTTATTATTATTTTATGTTGGAACAGTGATAATTAAAGGGGGCCCAAAATAGAGGACGAAAAACAATTTTCCTCCTATGGTAAGGAATGTTACATTATAGTTTCCATATGTCTCATTTCTTAAATACCAAAGTTTTGTTTAATAAATATAAACATAAAATGGGAACATTTGAAACAATATATGCACTTCTGACTATACACCTGGATTTCTTAAACTTTTTCAGACATTAAATTTACTCTAAAAGCACAATTAGTATACTTTTAAACAGTAAGTGGTCAACATTTATTAAGACCTTAACAATGTTTATAACCTTGTTCTAATAATTCTACTTCTGAGAATTCTAAAGATAAAAATATTTTATTTTTTAAAAAATATTTTTATTAGTTATTGATGGACCTTTATTTATTTGTTTTTATGTGGTGCTGAGAATCGAACCCATTGCCTCACATGTGCTAGGCAAGTGCTCTACCACTGAGCCACAACCGCAGCTCCTAGAAAATATTTTATTTCATTAGATGTTCAACACAGTATTATCCTTAAGAGTAAAACTTCAGAAATATCCTAAGTATATATCTACTTGATAGACTATAATAATGCAGGTATTAAAAAATAATGGTCATAACAACTATATAAACAGTACAAGGAAGGCATATCTGAATAAAGTAGTAAATAAAACTATGTGTATAATACTATTTCAACCCTGTTGATTTTTAAAGATAATATAGGGAAAAATATCAAAATATAATTTATTAAAATGTTAACAATACTTATGCTTGGGTTATAGAGATATGGGTGATTTTAAAAATCCATTTTTAGGAGTTTTCAAAATATAAGCACTGAGTATATAAAAACCAACACATTAAAAATGTACACAA